GTATAGATTACACTGGTCTACAAGGGTTTTGCGAATAAGACGGGACCTGGTGTTTCCGAACGGATTTTTCGTGCTGAACACGAATCTGGGGTCCAAAACTTCCCATCACGTCACGTTTTCGAGAAAAAAGGGGTTGAAACCCCTAAAAACAGCGTTTTTGGCCATTTTTGAAAAATTGTAGAGCTGAACTCTGACGTGCTACAAACTTTGTATATGTCAGAAATTAAAGGCTAAATCGTGCCCTTTCGAATGAGCCCTATGCCGAATTAATCGCATGCACCCTTAGATCAGGGGGTGTATTTGTGTCTAGGAGTCCAATTTTTATATCCACCATATTCGACCCGTCATCTTAAATTTTTAAAATCTAACTGCAGATTCGTAATCAGCGACTTTTAATATAGTTAAAACCTTGGCATTATTAATTTTCTATGATCGTTTAAGATTAAATTCTTTCTGTGATCAATTTTTCCTGCACCCCTAAACACAAATACACCCCCTGCTTTAAGGGTGCACGCGATCAATTCGGCATAGGGCTCATTCGAAAGGGCACGGTTTAGCCTTTAATTTCTGATATATGCAAAATTTGTACCACGTCAGGGTTCAGCTCTATAATTTTTCGAAAATGGCCAAAAACGCTGTTTTTAGGGGTTTCAACCCCTTTTTTCTCGAAAACGTGACGTGATGGGACATTTTTGACCCCGGATTCGTGTTCAGCACGAAAAATCCGTTCAGAAACACCAGGTCCCGTCTTATTCGCAGAAAAAAAGTTGAAATTTGTAGACCAGTGTTATAGATTGTGAATGACAAAAACGAATAGTACTCAACCTCGTATACATACTTATATGTATATATGAGATATATAAATATATCTTACTGATTTAAAAGAAAATCTCATATATGTATGTATATACATTAGACTGCATCACTCCCCGTACAAAAAAAAAAATCTGTACTATTTTTCCATTGGAATTATAAAATCTATTATATTTTAAGACGTCCACCAAAATATTTCGGAAAAATATTAAGATTTAAGTGAGCTGGACCGATTTGAAAATACCTCCAAAAATGGAGTTTTTTATGAATAAAAATAGTTTCTTAAAGATGTTTTTTGAAAAAATCCCTCAAATGACAAAACGGTTTAAGCTTAAAAAATTTGCGTAAAAATATTTTTAAAAAATATAAAAAAAAAGTTGAACGGAATCGTGATAATGAGATTTTTTATGCTGTTTTTGACTTTTTTAAAAGATTGGTATAAGAAAAACTTGAATAACTGAGCCTAAGCTCTCCCGATTTAGACTTGTGAGATATCATTGGAAAGGTATTTTCTCACCCTTTTTATTTCTTTGCTAATAAACTCATTCAAACGATGGAAGAGAAAGGTACGAAGAACGAACGTCATTCAAAGTGGAATTAAGATGTGTTGGTATTCGAAAAAACAAGATGGGACACGAATGACGTTTTTTTGCCAAGTTTTTCGTAAACCAATATTTGAAAAAAGTAAAAAACGGCATCAAAAATTTCATTCTTACGATTCCGTTGAAAGGATTTTTAAATATTTTTATGCAGATTTTTTAAGCTTAATCTAATTTGTCATCTGAGGGGACTTTTTTCAAAAAGTTCTTTAAGAAACTATTTTTATTCATAAAAAGCTTCATTTTTGGGGGTATTTTCAAATCGGTCCAGCTCGCTTAAATCTTAATATTTTTCCGAAATATTTTGGTGGACGTCTTAAAATATAATAAACTTTGTAATCCCGGCGGAAAAACCGCAACTTTTTTTGGGGATGCAGTCTAATGTACATATATCATCACAAGCGAGAGCACGGCGCGCGCTGGTTAGCAAACGCGAACAGTGAAAACACACCAAAACTGAAGCGTTTCGAAGTGATTTGGAGCGAAGGTCCCACTAACCCCCACCAAATAAAACAAATTTGATTTGTGTACTATGTCGAATACACCCACACACACACGCGGCTATCTAGAATACCGGCAACTTGGTGTTGAGGGGAGAGAGGGAATAAAGAGAGAGAGTCGGCAGTCGGTGCCGGAGATTATTCGGCGGGTATTTGTACACAGTGTTGCCAGGTCTTCGGCATGAGAAAACGTCTCTCTTGGTCTGAAAAGAGTTTTCAGAATTTTTTTTGAGTTTGATAGCCCATTAAATTTCAGGGCAATAATGTGCAAGTTTAAAGGGGCTAAATAATCGCGTTGATTTTTAATAATTTTTTTTCTTGTAGACGTTTGGTTAGGGGCTCGGTTGTCGAAAATGCTAAATTACGTTCTGGTAAGAAGGAGCATAGCAATAGGTCCCTTCAATATCAAAAAATTGCTACGAATTGTTTGCTAGTACTTGCAAGTTTTTACTGGGAATGCATTCAATAACCCAAAATATTTGCAAGAGGGAGCGAATTCGAGAGCGTAACAACCCGAGAGAGCTGCAAATTCTTGCAAGTAAAAATTTTAGTAGCAGGAATTGGCAGGAGTCAAAAAGTAAGGTTATGTTTCAAATTCAAATATAAACAAACTGTTTAAGAGGAGGATTTGATGAAACATAATTAGTGAAATGAAAATATGGATGAAAAATTTAAATCTATTGTATATTTTTTTATTTTTATGACGATGGGAACTATTCCCAATTAAAAAGAAAATTGCGCGCTAAAACTTAACCGTCAGAAAGTGACAAAATGGCTTCAGCTGCAAGTTTTTACTAGTTTTGCGTTCAATAACTTTTTCTGAAAATTTTCTCTTGCTCTAACTTTACTCTCTATTTTTCTTTTACGCTCTCGCCGCAAGTACTTACTGGAAAAGTTATTGAATGGACCTAATATTTCAGTATTTTTTGTGTTCATTACAATGAAGTCTTAAAAAAGTCGCCTACTTTTTTCTGACATTTTGTGCTGCACAGTTTTTTGATGCTTTTGCGAGTATGCCTGCTGCAATAGATCGGCTTTTCCTGAATTGGCTTTTAATGTACAATTGCAAACATTACAGCAAGCCTCGTAACCTCAAGTATTTACACAACCAGCCTTTGAACACGGGATCCTTAGTCCAAAAATCCAGAAAAAATCTTTTGAAGCAACTGCAGCAAAACCGAAAGATTGTAAAGATTTATTAGGAAAATAATTCAAAATCAGTTCTACTGATAAGATTTAGTAACAAAGAAAAATTACTGGGAAGTTAAAAAACGTCATTTTTTACACAAAAAACGTCCAAACGTCAACAGGGTACAAAAAACGTCCAAATGACGTTAAAAACGTCAACCTGGCAACGCTGTTTGTACAGGAGACGGGAGCGCTAACGGCGACACCGAGATTGGCAGTGGTACGCTCAGTCGTAGCGAAGAGCGCTGCAATAAGAGCAGGAGCGGTGATTGTGGTGGCGGCACCGATGTTTGCGACGGCAGCCTGCAATCAATCCCCTTGCAGTGGTTGTGGCGGCCTCGGTGGTGACGTTGGCAGTAGCACATATAATGATAAGGGCGGCAGCGACTTCCCGCAGAGGTATTTAATGCGGCCCTGAATGTGACGAGGGTTAATGCGGCCCCTTTTAGTTACAACGGCGACAGAGACTCTGGCTAGCGTTCGCAGGAGCGATGCCCGAGCTCGTGACGGCAGTAACGGCGGCCTGGGGCGTGGATATGTGTGGCGGACCCAGTTGTTCTGACAGCAGCAACGGGCCCTGATGTTAGTGACGGTGACAGTGGCCCTGGGTGGTGATAGTTAGCGTTCGCAGTGCTCGGTGATGATGGCGGGCGGCACTCGGTCGTAGCTTCGGCCTGGGTGGCAGTGGTGACAGCGGCCCCGATGATGAGAGCAGCTCCCGGGCCCTAGTGGTGACGACGAGAGTGGCGGCGGCCCTGGATGACAGCGAGTACGGATAGCGGTCCTCTGTGATGCTGGTG